ACAAAAAGAGAGATGGTTTCATAAATCGGGGCTACTCCAGGTAACCCCCAGCTGAACTCTTGTCTGGCATTGTTAAAAGTTTTAAACACAAAAGGCAAGATTTTGAATTGGACTTAAAAGTCAGAAGGACAACCAGCGCAGATCTTTTAGCCCGCAAATAATAGGAGCTTTGAGTAACATCCATGTAGCAGCCTATCTGTGCTACCTTGCTTGAGCTGGTTAGCCTCATATATCACAGAAAAACAGAGTTGGAAGGGACCTTGGAGGTCATCTAGTCCAACCCACTGCTCAGGGAGGAAACCCTACACCATTTCAGACAAATGGCTGTCCAGTCTCTTCTTTAAAAACCTCCAGTGTTGGAGCATTCACAGCTTCTGGAGGCAGGTGGTTCCAATGATTAATTGTTCTCATGGTCTTGAAATCTCTCCTTAGTTCTAGGTTGCTTCTCTCTTTGGTTAGTTTCCATCTGTTGCTTCTTGATGGTTGCTGGAATTGGGGATGTCTAGTTTAATGAAGAGAAGGACGAAGGGGGACACGATAGCAGTGTTCCAATATCTCAGGGGCTGCCCCAAAGAAGAGGGAGTCAAGCTGTTCTCCAGAGCGCCTGAAGGCAGGACAAGAAGCAACGGATGGAAACTAAGCAAGGCGAGAAGCAACCTAGAACTAAGGAGAAACTTCTTGACAGTGAGAACAATTAACCAGTGAAACAACCTGCCTCCAGAAGCGATGAATGCTCCAACACTGGAAGTTTTTAAGAAGAGACTGGACAGTCATTTCTCTGAAATGGTATAGGGTTTCCTGCTTGAGGGGGTTGGACTAGATGACCTCCGAGGTCCCTTCCAACTTTATTATTATAACCATAAGTCACTTTTTTTTCCAGTGACGTTTTAACTTGGAAGGGTCACTAAACAAAACAGTCATAAGTTGAGGGTTACCTGTGCTCTTTTTGCTTCTGGAACTCAGTGCCCGCAGCTTAATCTCTAAATTTGATATCAGTGACCAACGCTGACGACAACTATAAATGACTGGAGCGTTTTGGAAAGTGCTTTTTTAGTAGGCGAGGAATATTGGAAAAGCAGAGTGTGAATGGCGAGGAGCAGGAACTGAGAAAGAGCCTGAAATAAAACGAATAATTGCAGAAATCTTTCTTTCTTAACCAAACTGTGCCTTTTTTTTTTTAAACGATAAACACGTCTTACACCGTGGGATCAATAGTGAACATTTTAGTCGAACGCTTCATCCGCCAGTGAAAATGTGCAGTGTTGTAAAAAATGTATTTGCATTTCTCTACACGTCTATGGTTCTAAAAAAAAATATATATCCGTTTCTGTAATGTTTTACAATTGTTCGCTTTAGTGTTTCATTAGAAAAGTGATTTGTCGGTATGCATAAGTCCTTTTTTTTTCTTTTCTTTTCTTTTCTTTCCCCCCCCCCCCCCGGAAATCGGAAAACCAAGTTTGGTGAGTGGGATTTTGGTGCCGTATGTGAAGTTTCTTCGGAACGCTCCGAAATTTTTAAGAATTCCCGTAAGATTCTGTGGCAACGACCGCCTTTTTTTTGGATTTATAACCCTTTCTAGAACTCGGATGTCACCCTGACGTCAAAAGTGCTTCCCTCTCGCACCTCTGGAAATTTATATCGGAAAATGCAGATCGATGCTTCCATTTTGTATTTTTTTTAACCTTGTTTTAAAGTCCTTTTTTAAAAGCAACACAAAAGAAGCCAGTACGGTTTGATATAAAAAAACAAACCAGTGGAAACATCAGGAACGGACCTTTCAAAAGTTGATTCTGCAGGTCTTTGCTGCGTGGATAGAATAAAAACTGGGCAAACCTGTTCTTCCCCTGTAAAAAGATGCATGAAATCAGTTGTCTACTTGTGGGTGTGGGTGTGTGGGTGTGTTTTCAAGAAAGTGTATTTCGGGTGTAAAAAAATCCTCTTTTCTAAAAGAATGGAGAAAGATAAAATTTTGCATCCAGCTCTTTTTTTCTTGTGATAAGTCACCAAAACAGCCTCGATGTTTAGAAAAAAAAATAATAATAAGGTAGAGTCAGGAAGTCCAGCTGTTTCGTGCTTCCTGCCTCCAGATGTTCAAAGCCATGCGCAGAGTTGCGCCTGCACATACCTCAACGGATCCCCTTTCGTAATTCCCAAGTGGTGTGAATGCAACAACAGGTAGTCCTTGACTTACGACCACAGTTGAGCCCCAGAATTTAGGTGGCTAAGCGAGACATTCGTTAAGCGAGTGGTCGCCCCAATTTATGACCTTTTTTGATCCAGTGGTTAATGTGAATCGTTGCAGTTGTTAAGTTGGAGATTGGGCAACCATTTGTCTGAAATGGTCTAGCGTCTCCTGCTTGAGCAGGGTGGGGGTTGGGCTAGATGACCTCTGAGGTCCCGTCCAACTCTGTTGTTCTGTTAGTAACGTGTCTGTTAAGCGAATCTGTTTTCCCTTTTGACTCTGCTTGTCAGAAGGTCACAAAATGGGATCACACAACCGTCGTAAAATATGAATCAGTTGCCAATGTTGATCGTGTGACCCTGAGGATGATACAGTGGTTGTTAAGTGTGAAAAACGGTCATAAGTCACTTTTTTTCAGTGCTGCTGTAACTTCAGTCGCTAAATGAACTGCTATAAGTCGAGGACTACCTGTACTGGGGTTGTGACCAAACACAAACGCTTCCCTGTAAGATCCCGATGAAACTCGGGATCTTCGGTTGAAGGAAAATGTAAGTCCCATCCTTAGAGATCAAGTTTCTGGTGAAAGTTGCATCTAAACTGGATCGTATAAATTGCTCATACTGAGGAATTTTAAGAAATCTGTTATTTCAAATGTGCATAATATCGTTTTTTCCTCTCTTTTTTTTTTAAAAAAAAGCAAAAATTATTGGTTCAGGTTCAAGTAGTCTAACTATATAAATATATATAAATATAAATAGATGTACATAGTTTTACATGTAACAAAAAGCTGTATTTTCCATTACTGTGGTTTCTGTATTTTTGTCACAGTGCCTCCTGTTTTTAAAATATTAACCACCACCCCTGTGTTTGTTGAACAGCTATTTCCAGTGGCTTAAAATCTGAATTTCCTGATTTGCCAAGATTGTATTGTAATAAAGCAAGTCATTGTCAGCAAGGCGTGCCGTCGTTTTTCTGTTACTTGAGCAAAAATCTCATATTCAATTTCCATAAGATGAAAGAGAATGGTTAATAACATTGAATTATTATTGATTTGAGCAGTACTTAATTCATTCAAGAGAACAGCGGGGTTCTTTTTTTTAACGATCGCTTTGAAATAAGCAGCCACGCAGATTCAATTTATATTAAATTGAATTCTTGGTAGAAGTGATAGGAAGGAGCAACCTAGCAATTTTATTTTACAAAACGCTACCAAAAAAAAAAAATGAATTTATAAAATGGTTCGGTGATAACCTACGTATTATTCCCAGTGGATGCTGTAATTCTTTTAACAATCCTTGGTGCTCTCTTTGGGGAATATCACTTTTGCACTGGGAAAAAATTGTGGTTTTCTTGATAATTGCCAGCTCTTTCCAGTAGTAAAGTTGCAATATGTGTGGTATGTGATTTTAAAACTTCATTTTGACTGTTTATTACGGTGACCATTTATTTTAAGTACAGATTAGATGAGACCTGGCTCAAAAACAGCCACTGTGAGAGGGACCTCGGAGTCCTAGTGGATGATCACTTGACCATGAGCCAGCCATGTGCAGCAGCAGCCAAAAAAGCTAACACAATCCTGGGTTGTATAAACAGAGGCATAGAATCAAGATCACATGAAGTACTAGTACCCCTTTAGAAAACCCTAGTGGGCCAGACCTAGAATACTGCAGCCAATTTTGGTCACCATATCACAAAAAAGATGTTGAGAGTTTGGAAAAAGTTCAGAGAAGAGCAACTAAGATGATCCAAGGCCTGGAGACTAAACATATGAAGAATGGCTGCAGGACTTGGGTTTGGCTAGTCTAAAGAAAAGAAGAAATAGGGGTGACATGATAGCAGGATTCCAGTATCTGAGGGGCTGCCACAAGGAAGAGGAGGGTCAAACTATTCTCCAAAGCATCAGTGGGCAGGACAAGAAACAATGGATGAAAACTGATCAAAGAGAGAAGCAATCTGGAATTAAGGACAAACTTCCTGACAGGACAATTAACCAGTGGAACTGCTTGCCTCCAGAAATCGTGGGCACTCCATCACGGGATGTTTTTAAGAAGAGGCTAGACAGTCACTTGTCTGAGATGGTATAGGTTTTCCTGCCTAAGCAGGGGGCTGGACTAGAAGACCTCCAAGGTCCCTTCCAGCTCTATTCTATTCTAAAGTCAATGTGGAATCCAGACTCATTTAACAGCTGTGTTACTAACTTAACAACTGCAGTGATTCTCTTAACTGTAGCAAGAAACTGTTGTAAAATTGGGCAAAGCTCACTTAACAAATGTCTCACTTAGCAACATAAATGTAGGGCTTAATTGTGGTCGTAAGTCAAGGACTACCTGTATGAACAGGGCCCATTGAATGATGTCTTTCCGTTGGGTTAAAGCAAAATCTGGACAGAATATTAAAAGGAAAATAACTAGATATGAATATAAGCTTTCTGTTCTGCCTTGTTTACTTGGTTTGGAGACATGAGGTAATAATTATTAATAATAATAATAATAGTAAAGTTGGAGGTCCCTGTCTCTGTCCATTTTTGAACATATTTCTGCAGAAATTTCTTCCCTTGTAAGAAGATTTCTACCAACTGAGGGTGGTCATTTAAATAATTAAATTGGTAGGGGAAAAAAATAAGCCACCCGTATTAAAATATTAAAAACAAACTGAAGTTAGTTTATTTATTTTTTTATGACAATGTTTTCACCCAAGCCATGGCAAATAAAAAGGACTTCTAGAATGACTTCCCTTTTGTGTTACAACCTCCAGCGAAGACGCACAAAAATAAGTGATGCGTTTCTTCAAAAATTCTGAAATTCTGCATCGAAGAGATTTAAATTTCGTTGCTTGTCTTCACAAATCGGCACATCTCCCCATCGGCGGCCTTGACGAAATCCTGGAATGTTTGCTGTTCAGCTGCTGTGGCTGGCCTCACAGACACACATTTGAACACCTTGTGTTTTGCGTCGTAATTTCCCATGCATCTGTGAACTCGGCCTCTGATTAACCTTGGTAGCTCGCGATCCTTTTGTTCAGAGAAGAATAAAAAGTCATTTCTGGATTTTTTTCCCCCCTTACTCCTTTCATGTAGAAATAGCACCACCAAACATCTCTTACCAATTTACAGTAGTAGCCAAAATTGTGGAAACCTTTTGGGAAATAAGTGTATTTTTGAGGTTTGATGGCTAATAACACCACTTTTTTTTGGAGCAGTACCATAAAATTATATATCAATGGAAAGATCATTTAATCAAGAATGTCATGCAACAAAGTTTGTTCAATTATCTCTATGGTATTCTATGAAAAGTTAGAGCCAAATAACCAGAAAAAGGAAGCACAACTTGCTCAGGTTGATCTCAGGTAGCTTTCCTTCATCTGATTGTAGCCAATGAGCATGAGTGTTTAGAGAGCCAATCGGGTGTCCTCTTGTTTTGGCCATGAGCCAATCAGATCACGGTAGGATCCGGTTATTGATGTCGTGTATTGAAGCTGAGAGGAGGACATTTGTCGGTGTGTTATGTGATCGCTATCAAGTTGGTTGGGTTTTTTTGTATTCTTTCATTTAGTGAGCTTGTAAAACGTAATAAAATTAAAGTCATGGTGCAAAGAGTTGACTGGTTGCCCAGAAAGCGATGTAAAATAGAATTATTAAGTGAACAAGGCTACAGTTATAAAGAAATGAGAAGAAAAATGGGTGGAAACTTAACCAAAGGTGGCATTTCTACTGTACACTTTTCCCAAAAAGTTCCCACAATTTTGGCCACTACTGTATAATGTACTGGATCACTTTTAATATACCTTTTAAAAGATTTATGGGTAAATTTTATCGCAATGATAAAACCGACCAGTTGCAAAATAAAGGTATTATTCACAGCCGTCGAAAATTAGGATCTATAGAGAAATAATCGAATCTTTACAAAGGATCACTTGGTCAGAAGAACCAGGATGCATTGATTATACAGGTAGTCCTCGACTTACGACTGCAGCTGAGTACAATATTTCTGTTGCTAAGCGAGACAGTTGTTCAGTGAGTTTTGCTCTGTTTTACGATCTTGCTGGCCACAATTGTTAAGTGAATTATTGTGGCTGTTAAGTTAGTAACACGGTTGTGAAGTGACTCTGGCTTCCCCATGGACTTTGTTTGTCAGAAGGTCGCAAAAGGGGATGGCGTGACCCCGGGATACTGAAACTGTCATAAATATGAGTCGGTGGCCAAGCATCTGAATTTTGATCACATGGCCATGGGGGGGGGTGCTGCAACGGTCGTAAGTGTGAAAAATGGACGTAAGTCACTTGTTTTAGTGCCATTGTAACTTTAAATGATCACTAAGGTTGTAAGTTGAGGACTACCTGTAGTTATGTATTAGATTATGGCAGGGATCCTCAAACTTGGCCACTTTAAGACTTGTGGACTTCAACTCCCAGAATTCCCCAGCCAGCATGGCTGGCTGGGGAATTCTGGGAGTTGAAGTCCACAAGTCTTAAAGTGGCCAAGTTTGAGGATCCCTGATGTAGGTTGTCATGGATCCAGCATACCTAATACATCCTTGATTAAAGATTATACAAATATATATATATATACACTTACAATCTCATAAAATACGCACGACACGGTTTCTTTTCCATCCCTCAGAAGGAAAGCTTTTGACCCAAATTGTCCGGGGGTAACAGCAGAGTCCAGAACACCTAAATAATGCAGTGTAATTATTAGTCTGAAAGCTTTTCAGAGCGAAGACAAACCCCGTTCGGCGGCTTTTTGTAAGAAGAGACATGCTGGTTTAGAAATGGTAGCCATGATAGAGGTCCAGATTTAGCACAGGTGAGGGCCTGCCCAGGGCAACATGCTGACTGAAGGCTGTACAAGGAGCCTCTCAGCTTTACTACAGCTGACTGCCTCCTGGCTTGTGGTTCAGAGGAGATAAACATATATTGACAGAAACGGGGATGTGTAAGACGTGCTGCTATTTTTGTAAGCAAGCAGTTGAGAGTGCCGCTGGTCCTCGACTTAACGGTCACAATTGGGAGCAGAAAATCCATTGCTAAGCAAGTTGCAAATCTAGACAGCATACTAAAAAGCAGAGACGTCACCCTGCCGACAAAAGTGCGTATAGTCAAGGCCATGATTCTCCCAGTGGCAATGTATGGCTGTGAAAGTTGGACCATAGGAAAGGCTGAGCGCCAAAGAATGGAGGCCTTTGAACTCTGGTGCTGGAGAAGACTCCTGCGAGTCCCCTGGACTGCAAGGCGATCAAACCGGTCAGTCCTAGAGGAGATCAACCCCGACTGCTCTTTAGAAGGCCAGATCCTGAAGTTGAAACTCAAGTCCTTTGGCCACCTAAGGAGAAGGAAGGACTCCCTGGAGAAGAGCCCGATGCTGGGAAAGATGGAGGGCAAAAGAAGGGGACGACAGAGAATAAAGTGGCTGGATGGAGTCCCTGAAGCAGTAGGCCTGAGCTTCAATGGACTCCAGAAGATGGTAGAGGACAGGAAGGCCTGGAGGAACGTTGTCCATGGGGTCACGATGGGCTGGACACGACTTCGCAACTAACAACAACAAAGCAAGTTGCACTTGATTTTGTGACCTTTTTTTGCCATGGTTGTTAAGTGAATCCTGCCATTGTTAAGTAGGTCCAGCTTCCCCCATTGACTTCACTTGTCGGGAGCCAGCCGGGTGGGACGTCCGCATATGGCGATCGCGTGACTCCAGGATGCTGTAACCGTGGTAAATAAATAAATCCTAGTTGCCAAGTGAAATGCTGAAGAGGTTGGCTGGAATATTTTAAAAGTAATCGGCTTCTTTGGGATGGTAAGAGCAATATTCTGGTATGGAAAAGTGCCCCCACAATCCTACTAGAGAATACTCACCCAGGACTTCAAATAACAGTGGAGTTTTACCAGCATACTGGCTCCAGTGCTTCATGCTTTCAATGACAGCAGATAAAATTCGAAGAGAATTCTCTTTCTCCTTCGCTTTAGAGTGGCCCGCCGGTTTTTTCTTTGACACAGGGACCAAAAAAAAGAAGAAGAAGAAGAAGATGGATAAGCCAAAGATGATTGCATCATGTCTGAGTTTAAGTGAGAACGTGGCTGTTTACAATGAGTCCTCGACTTAACGACCACGATGGAGCCCCAAATTTCTGTTTACAGTAGTGGCCAAAATTGTGGAAACCTTTTGGGAAAAGTGTACAGTAGAAATGCCACCTTTTGGTTAAGTTTCCACCCATTTTTCTTCTACTTTCTTTATAACTGTAGCCTTATTCACTTGATAATGCTATTTTACATCGCTTTCTGGGCCACCAGTCAACTCTTTGCATCATTATTATTATTATTATTTTATTATTATTTATTTGATTTGTATCCCGCCCTTCTCCTCACCGGACTCAGGGCGGCTGACAGCCTTATAAAACAACATTACTTTAATTTTATTACGTTTTACAAGCTCACTAAATGAAAGAACACAAAAAACACAACCAACTTGATAGCGATCACATAACACACTGACAAATGTCCTCCTCTCAACTTCAATACAGGAGATCAATAACTGAATCCTGCTGTGATCTGATTGGCTCATGGCCAAAACAAGACGACACCTGATTGGCTCTAAACACTCATGCTTATTGGCTACAATCAGATGAAGGAAAGCTACCTGAGATCAACCTAAGCAAGTTGTGCTTCCTTTTTTGGTTATTTGGCTATAGCTTTTCATAGAATACAGTATAGATAATTGAACAAACTTTGTTGCATTATGTTCTTGATTAAATGATCTTTCCATTGATATATAATTTTATGGTACTACTCCCCTAAAAAAGTGGTGTTATTAGCCATCAAACCTCAAAAATACACTTTTCCCAAAAGATTTCCACAATTTTGGCCACTGCTGTATTTATTGAGTTTTGCCCCATTTTACGGTTTTCCTTGCCCCGGTTATTAAGCGAATGATTGCAGTTGTTAAGTTAGTAACACAGTTGTTAAGTGGCTTTGCTTGTCAGAAGATTACAAAAATTGATTTATAGGACCTCGGGACACTGCAACCGTCATAAGTACACGCCAGTTGCCAAGCGTCTGAATTTTGATCACGTGATTGCGGGGATGCTGCAACGGTGATCAGTGTGAAAAAGGGTCCTAAGTCACTTTTTTCAGTGCCGTTGTAACTGAGAAGGGTCACTAAACTGAACTGCTGTAAGTCGAGGACTATCTATATAAGTCACCAAGGGTTTCAATCGACTATTTTTCAGTTTGGAAAATAACTAGGTTTGGAAGGAGATTTCCCCAGCGTCCTTATAAAAATATATGCATGCATGAATTTTTTTACCTGAATTGTTTTGTTGTTTTGCAAACTGTCAGCTTTTTCCTTCGGGGTGTTTTGTTGGGAAGGGCTGGGCTTAAATGTGTAGGAGGGATCCTGAGTCTTCAGGTTTCTGAACCGGGCTGTGGGTACCACAGGCCACTGGGAAACAGCTGGATCCCAGTCTTCTGCCGCTTCTGTCCTGCTTCTCTCCGATGCCTGTGGCAGGGCTGCTGGTTTCTGGTACATGGGTCCAGGCTTCATCCAATAACTGGGGTGGTCATCCAGTTGTGGAAGCTTTTTGTTCTCCGTTCTGTTGCCAAAAGCTGGGAAGTCATTTCTTTTCCAAACATTAGTGCTTTCCTCCTGCCTGGAGTGAGATAAGACTAATGTTATCTATCTGTCTTTCTACCTCGCTTGACAAATTTCCCACAGAAATTTGGGGCTCAGTTGTGGCTGTAAGTTGAGGACTACCTGTATTATGGTTTGTAAAAGGACTCCTTGGATCCTTTGGATACCCCTTGTGCTCTTGGCTGAATCCCCAAATATATTACAATCCTCCCTGTCTTTATTAAGATAGGTAAGGTGTCATGGTTCCAACAGATGAAACTCTTCAAAAGAACCTCAAGGCATTGTTTACCTTAAAGCAGACATGTCAAACACAAGGCCCGGGGGCCAGATACAGCCCGCAAATTGGTTTCATGTGGCCCACGAAGCCATCCTGGACACAGTGAGGGAACGGCCCCCGCTGCCTTGGCCCTGGCCCAGGCCGGCCGGGAGACAATGTACAATTTTGTGGTGGCCATCTATGCTGAAACGCATTCAGTCTTAGCTCCACAAGGCTGTCCGGAAACAGCGAGGAACCAGGTCCTGCCGCGTTGGCCCCGCCCCCTGGGTGCATGCTGGGGAGGGGTCACCCTTTGTGAGGAATGAAGAAATGGACCATGCCCTGGCGCTTGCCCCGGTCCCACCCCCTTCTGCCAGAGACCCTCAGATCTGTCCCACTCCTGCACAGGCCCCCACAGGCCCCCTTGACGCGAACGATGTAGAGCTGGCCACGCCCACCCAGTAGGCCACACCCACTCCATCCACGCCCACTCAGTAGGCCACACCCACCCTGGCCACACCCACCCGTCCCCCCTGAGGGCAACTGCAATGCTGATGCGGCCCTCAATGAAATTGAGTTTGACACCCCTGCCTTATTCGAGTAGCATAACATCGGCACTTACATAATCGAAGCCAAAAACTGAATTCCCCTCCCCTGGGCACATAGTATCAAAGCACAATTCCCTCCTCCAATTAACAGTCATAAATCACATTCCCCAATTAGCTTGAAGCATGAGCGGGCTTCCTCTCCAGCCCGGCCAATTCCTTATCAGCTCTGATTACAATAACCTTGATTCTCATGCTAAGTTTAGTGTTGTTATGTCTAGCTGGACTCTTGTTCACATCCCCCCTCCCAGCATCATCTAAGTCTAAAAGCGAAAGGGAAAAGATGGCTACATTTCCATCTGTTGTCAATGCAAAAACATCCGATGTTAGCAGCGTTGACATAAGGGCTGTGAGGTGGCGCTAGTGGTAGCACAAAGAACAAGCTGGCATAAAAATAGAATCAAAGGGGCAGGAGGGTAGAATTGCTAAGGGCTGGGTGGCGATGTGTGCACTGGGGTTCAAATGCTCCCTCTGTCCATACCGACAGCTCTCCCTCCTACCCAGTTTGTAAGGTTGTTTTTTTTCCCCCTCCCTGTCATTTCTGGCAAAAGGGTTGATCTGAGAATTAAAAGCAATCGGAAGAGCCACAAAGGCGGATCGGACCTAAAAGGATGCGGTTGCAGGAGCTCACAAATGATGACCTCAACTGTGCATTGACAATTCATTTTGGAGAATGTCTTGTCACCCACCTCCGGTTGCTTCCTGCGTGAGGCATTGTCGGCTTTGATGTGTGTTGTTGCCTCGGCAAAGAAGATGGCATAGCAAGCTCTGCTGGGCTGCGGGGAAAAGGTTTAGTCATTACCGCGAATGAAGAAGATTAAAACCTACATACAGTATACAAGCAGTCCTTGACTAACGTCCACCACGGAGCCCAACGCTTCCATTGCTATGCAAGACAGTTGCTAAGTGGGATTTGCCCCCATTTTACAATCTTTCTTGCTAAGTGAATCACTGCAGTTTTTGAAAGGAGTAAAACGATTGTAAAGGGAACTTGGCTTCCCTGTTGATTTTGCTTGTCAAAGGGTCGCAAAAGGCGATCACGTGTATCCTGGGACACGGCAGCCATCATAAACATGAGTCAGTTGCCAAGCCTCCGAATTTTGATCACATGACCACAAGGAGGCTGCGACGGTTGTTAAGTATGAGAAATGTCATAGGTCAGTGGTGGCGAACCTATGGCACGGGTGCCAGAGGCGGCACTCAGAGCCCTCTCTGTGGGCAAGCGCACTGTCGCCCCAATCCTAGGCCTTCAGCTGGGTTTTATAAAACTTTTTCGCTTTAGTTTAAGTTTAAGTTTAAGTTTATTTAAATTTATATACCGCCCTATCTCCCTTACGGAACTCAGGGCGGTGAACAGGCAATAATAAAAATCACAATAAATATCTATTCTAAAATCAGATTAAATAAATAAAGGCCTGCTCTAAAATACCCCATATAAAACCTGTATTAAAACATAATTAAGACTACGCCAGGCCGGCCGCATGGAATAGATGGGTTTTCAGGGCTCGGCGAAAAAGGTGCAGGTCCGCAGTTGTACGTAGGTCGGGGGGTAGGTCATTCCAGAGGGCAGGAGCTGCCACAGAGAAGGCTCTCCCCCTGGGGGTCGCCAGCCGGCACTGACTGGCCGACGGCACCCTAAGGAGGCCCTCTCTGTGGGAGCGGACTGGCTTTAGGCCTCCGCCCCATGTGCAAAAAAAAAAAGGTTCAATCAGTCAATTTCAACTTCTCGCGGGAAAAAAAAAGGCCTTGCAAAGTTGGAATTGATTGATTGAACTTTTTAGTCCCACCCAGTCTGCCGTTACCACCGCAGCCACGCCCACCCAATGGGCCACACCCACCCAGTCAATGGGCCACACCCACCCGGCACTCGACGATGCATAAGTGGGTTTTGGGTTTCAGTTTGGGCACTCAGTCTCTAAAAGGTTCGCCATCACTGTCATAGGTCATAAGTATGAGAAATGGTCATAGCTCCTAGATTTTTTTTTCAGGTGCCGTTGTAACTTTGAATGGTCACTAAATGAACGGTTGTAAGTCAGGGACTCTCTGTAGCCATACAGTATTGATTTCCGTAAGCAGGAAATGCATTTGATTTCAGGAATATAAAGAGGTGGGACCTACTTACTCGGTGCCTACTGTTTTCTGCAGTTGGATCGGTTCTGGCTTCTCGGTTTCCCATCCGAAATCTTGAAAAAAGTCAAAGGACACAGAATGATCAGTTTGAATCCAGGTCCCGATCCAATATTAAGAAAGAAAATGTGGACTGTGTTATATGTGCATTGTTAACGTTCCTCATGACGTAGTTCTCCACTTCTGAATTTTTGATTACCTGAGTTTTGAGGTGGTATTTCTTGATTTCGTTAACTTTAAGATATGTGGGCTTTATGTGTCAGAATAGTCATAGGGTGTGGAAGAAACGAATTTGATGTTGAATCTTATAACAGCTGCAAGGTAGCTCAATATTGGATCGTTTGCCTACTATAGAAGAATGGTCGCTTAAAGTGTCAAATTTAGCAGAAATGGCCAAGATTTCCGCTTATGTGAAGGACCATTCACAAGAAAGATATATTTCGGTTTGGAGAAGATGGATAGATTATATCCAGAATAAATATGGGACTAAAAAGTTCCATTTGGTTTTTGAGTAAATTTTAGAGTATTATTA